TATGTCATTATTAAACCAAAACGTGCAGTAAGGCTAATTTGTGCATGCTAACTAATCAGTGATTTTTCAATCACGTTAAAACACATGAATAGTTATGGGGTTCAAAAACTGTACTTTCAGTGAAAGAGCCATAACCCTCTAATATATGAGTATCAAATTTGATTTTAGTATGTATGAGCAGACACGTGGATTTCATTAAAGTAAACACATAAGTTTGACATTGTATAAAACTTCTGATCTAATATTTCCGTTGAACATGCGTGGACTCCTTTTTATTTTACCAAAAGCTGTGCAAAAATCACGCAATACGAAATGTTGTTTACTTACAGGTCTTACTGACATGAAACTACGGAAATTGTTTTATCTAATATGCTGTTTCACTCGGTCGATAACTCTGCGGGTGGAGTATAAGTCCCCGAGGCTTGTACTGTAACAAGCACTGCGTGAAGATACGGATATTGTTTTATTGCATTTAGCTGTTATGAATTATTGAAACCATTTTACATTGAATAATGAATCGCCCTCATGCAAAACGCTTTGATGTCTTATCCAGATTTGGCATTTACTTTTGTTCCATTTTAATTAATGAACACTTCTTCGTTTGCATTAGGTTGTATTGAGTATAACCGAAGAGACATTTATTGTCGCAATGAACATTAGTATTAGGTTTTTGATTTTCAAATATTTTGGGATCGAGCATCACTGAAGAGACATAAATTGTCGAAATACGCATCTGGTACAGTACAGTAAAATTGTTACCGTTTATGTTATTACATATACTACTGATCGTCGTTTGAAAATCACAATATTTACATTTTTTGTTATCAACTGGCATTTTTTGCAATATAAACCAGAAGGAAAAATGCAATTGTATTAGAAATCATTGTTTGTATATGATTACTAAATGGATTTTATCTTCGTCATTTAATAAAATGACGTAATTGAAATATTGGAATTTCTGTATACTTATGTATGAAGATCTAGATGTATTGGGTTTACATGATAAAGAACAATGACCAAAAGAAAATAATGACAATGAGCAAAAAATATATAGATTAGAAAGTAAATGAGTGCAAAAGAAAACATAAAAGAATTAGGTGATAAAATACTGATTACATGCAGAAATGAACAGTCAGGAACCTGTTGTTCAGTGGTTGTCGTTTGTTGATGTGGTTCATAAGTGTTTCTCGTTTCTCGTTTTTTATATAGATTAGACCGTTGGTTTTCCTGTTTGAATTGTTTTAAACTAGTCATTTTGGGGCCTTTCATAGCTTGCTGTTCGGTGTGAGCCAAGGCTCCGTGTAGACGGCCGTACTTTGACCTATAATTGTTTACTTTTTACACAAACACATTGTGACTTGGATGGATAGTTGTCTAATTGGCACTCATACCACATCTTCTTATTTTAATGTATAGAATACAGAAATTTATCGTATTTCAGAAACATTTAATAGATAAATCATTGTCATGAGAATTTTACAGAACTAAAAATTAAAAGAATACAGAAAGTATATAAGGACTCCACATCCAGACCCTCATACTATTTTTATCGATGACAATACAATAACTCTTGATTCAGTTAAACGTTTATCTTAGGTTCTGAATTTTCAAATATTATGGTATCGAGAATCACTGAAGAGACATTAGTTATGAAAATGCATATATAGTTTAGTAAAGATGGTACTGATGCAAATGCATCGAGAAGATCTGACATGTATGTACAAAAATCGAGACGACCTATTCTTAAAATTGTTTTTTTTATATTGAAAATCTTTTAACGGATAATATTTTTTGTTAAAATATCTTTACTATTTTTTTTACCTTGATAAACATAACTTTTAAATTATTATATTCACACTAAAAGTTTCCATGACAAAGAGCAGACGGGCTTGTTCGAAAACGTAGTCAGAGATACGTATCATGCTGAGGAGGCTACGGGCAACACTCTGACAATATGATATATGGGAAAAGCTTTAGATATTGTATGTAGTACTACATGATTTCCCCCCCATTTTTTTTACAGAATATGCAGCAAAGATAATCATTTCAAATATGAATATAACTACCTTCTAATGCAATTAAATGCTCTTGATGAATAACAAAATCAAAACCATGTGCATTTGATTGTATATTTCAAATAAAATAGTTTTAATAGAAAATTTTTTAAAAATGTACGATTGTGGTTTCGAAATAAATTTTATTCAGCATGGTTACCGACGTAAACAAACTACTGTTTTATTAATCTTAAAGATGAAAAAGATAATTTCTATTGTTCCCGCTTCACCGGTTCACACACTGTCCAGAAATAACTCGAGGTTCACTTTGTTTGTCTTGCTTTCACACATGCAACTTATAAGTTGAGAATGCACAGTATGATGATTTGTGCGCACAATATTTGTTTTCTGTATGGGTTCCAAATGAAACTACGTATCAAATTCTAGAATAAACTGAGATTTAACTCTCCGTAATCAGTATAAAAAGTAACAACGTATGCTTGTCTGGCACATTGGTTTGAAAAAAAGAATGGGCATCACCTTTTCTTCACTGAAATAACCATGGGACTTCAAGTTTTTTTATAGGTCATTTTAGTTTTGCACTGGTCTCATGCCTTGATAAATGACCGGTCCCTAATACTAACATAATCTGAGATTTAACTTTCCTTTTATCAGTATTAAAAGTAACAATTAATGTATAGTGATAAGACAAAAGAAACAGATGACTGTTTGACCAAAGTTTTACTAGAAACAGCAGGTTATTGGAAGATTTTGAAAACAATTTTATTTTAACAAAAGTGAGAATTTATCCGAATTTTTATATAGAAAATATATAACAAAACATCAGGGGCGAATTAAGTCAAAACATGTCATGGTACTCACACTCCGTTAAATGTACATGTGCATTTAATTTTTTGTTTTACTTAAATGAACTTTTATTTTATCTACCTATTGAAGTTATTTTAAAATGTGTATGACCTATCATAGTATTCCTAGGTTAAGATTAATTTTTTGAAAATTGAAGTCAACGCATTCAGACGTATACCAACCGTTCATTTGACCTAGATCAACATTTACAACTATATAAAATATGTAGCTGAAAAATGAAGTGTCAGATAAAGGATCAAAGGCATTTTCCGTATATACCAAAATACCACAGGTAGGAAAGAATGACTGATTTTCAGCATAAACTTCTCAAGGAAGTATATCAAATTATTAATGGCGGAGTATACCATTTGGCAAACATGGCCGTGTTACCTATGTTATTATACGGGTCATTTTTCAAAAAAGGGTCATTTTTCAAAAAATGTCGAATTTTCAGTACACTCATGCTAATTTTGTTTTATTTCTAATGGAAAATGCAGTTGTAAGTGTTTAAATGAAAATTTGTAGGATTTATGAATCAGAACATTAATAATAAATACGATTTAGATCAATTTTGATAAGATTAAAATATATTTAAGTCCGATTTTTGCGTAATTTCTGTGCGTACAGTGTCAGAGTAACACATTTTAAATGATTTTTCCTATTTTCTGATCGCCTTGATATCTGCAAAAGGGACTTTTTTAGAACGTTAATAATAACTCTAACGAAAAATCGTAGCTTCTTTATAATTATATGTAACATTTTTCTACAAACTAAATTCAATCAGCGTACATGAAGTTCATGTCCATCCTGTTACCGCTACTTAAATCAGCCGATAAATTAGTCTCCCTATGAATATTAAACTAGTCAGTGTTGATTTCAAAAGCGCAAGGTAACCTAAACATTTAGCACGTTTCTTGTATAACAGTGTAGACAAAAGAAATTTCAAGACATTTAGTGAAAAAAAATAGTGGGTACTTTTTTGTCATGTCTATGCTGTTACCAACATATTGATTAATTACACCAATTTTATACTTGTAAAAAGTGCAATAACGAGTTGGAAACCAAAATCGCAACAGAAAAATATTATCACTTCATCAAAGGGAGTAGTTATTTCACAACAGCATTCAAAAATGAAAAAAATTGTGTCTATTCTGTTATGTCTATCCTGTTACTATGGGTGCTATGGTCACAGTATCAGGATAGGCAATAGTAGACAGAAACGTCTTTAAAAAGTTTATAATAACATAAAGTTGCACACATAATGAAATGTTTCGTTGTTTGAACTCATCTAAAGGTTATAACGTCTTAATCTTCGCAATTTAGCATTTGCAGGTGAAATACTGCTATCGGTAACAGGATAGACAAAAAGGTAACAGGATAGAACTTAATATAGTGATATATCATTAACGTACGTTCCTATAATCAATAAAATAAAGACAAAAGTAAACCAAAATGCGAAGGATTTACTTGATGTTGGGTTTATTTGAAAGAGAGAAAAAATGCTGAACATTGTGAATTGCTATCTTAGACTTGCATTACTGGTGGTTATTTTTATAACCTTTGAAAACCAATTTTTAGAGGCATTTTTCAGTACAACAATGAAAATTGGCAAACAAACTTTTATTTCACAGAATGAATATATAATAGAAGTTTTTACTCTTGAAAACCATCTTATTGGCTACGATAAACAAGCTTAAAATGTTATCGAAATCTTTTCTAATTAACCCGACATTTCTTTTGAACATGGTAACAGGAGAGACAAAATATTGCACCACCTATCAAAAAATGTTTCAATATATTCTTGTATTGGGGGGTCTTGTATGACATTATCAAGATTGCATCTTTTTATATGTTGTTCTATAAGTACTGTTTGTTTTGATTTGCTTATGACGAGGGTTGTTTGAATAAGTAACTTTAAATCAATTATGCAATTTCAAAATTCGACATTTTTTGAAAATGACCAATACCATCTTTTGAGAGTAAAACTATTTTCTTGCACCGATTTTTATTGTATGTTTAACTAGTCCATTCATCGAGATTAAAAAGGAGGGAAGAGATGCGAACATTGTCATAAGCCTGTTTGAGCATTTATAGATATTTTATCATTTACTGGCATTTTAAACTTACTGCAGGTTATGATTTATGGATATGGCTGTGGCTGTTGATCCAAATGTTAGCGATCAAGATGTTTACCTTGATGCGCTTGATCCAGATGAAATGCAGGATCTATGGCAACTGAATGAGAAAGGTATAAATATTAAAGCTACGTGATTCATTTCAGTTGATGTGCAGGTTCCAAACTACAAAAAATGTACTTTTTATATGTACAAAGGGTATGAACATTTGATATATTATAGAGGACAGGAGGATTTTTTAAACGCAATAAATGACCAGAAATGGCAACTGGCAAAAATATATAATCTTTCCAAAGGCAGCATGAAAATAAAAAAAATCGAAAAAGTTGTGCATGATGAAGAAAGCAAATGTTCATGTAGCATTGCTTAAAAAGACTTTTTCTTAGCTAGGAGTGTAAAATACATTTTTGTGCTGTAAAAATCTTATAGCCTTCAAGAATATCAAATGGTCGTCCACTTAAGCATTCGGTATGTACTATTGGAATTCCATATAGATCAATCAATATATTTTCTATCATATATTATCAACAACACAAAAAACAAAAATATTTCAACATAAAATAATCGAGGTTACGTCCATTATAACAAAACAAAATCGGATAGTACATGGCAAATGGAACATTTTGAAACAACATCAAACATAAAACAAGACCTCAATAGAAAATTTCAAAAAGGGATGTGCATATAACTACTTTAGAAATTTAGTGAATTAAATTTACATAGCCGTTATATAACTTAGTATTATCTATCTGAATTTAAATTGTGAACATTAAGTTTAATTATTGTAAACAAAAGATTAAAATTATATGTTGTTAAGAAACAAGTGTGGATACAGGCGTGTATTGTCTGTTGGGAGAATGTTGGTTATGACTTATTCCGGGGAGGATTCTGATGGGTGTATGCAGGCACATTTGCCACTCTAAAATAAAAATTTCTTATGTATTGTCAGGTGGGGGTGTGGACACTGTTTGACATGAAAATAGTAAAATAATTAAAAAAAACTACAGGAACTCATAAAATACTAACAATAAAGAAATACTCTCTGGAGAAACACTTGAAAATTACCAGGACTGATGTGGTTCTGCAAATATGTTGCATTTGGTCTTTAATTTTGTCACACGAATAAATAATTTAAATAGAAAACAAAGTTGAAGTGAATTTTTGAAATGTGAATAAAATGCCGGATAAAAGTATCAATACTTCAGAATATCAGTGACAAATTTTGACAATGATACTGAAAATGCAATAAATAAATTAGCGTCTGTTTCGCCATGTGAGTTTCATACCATTTACACTGTTTAAAATGTGATCATTTGCAACGAAACTCATTTTAAAATAGGCTTTGCATTTAAGGAATAACAGTACTGTAGTTGAAGAGTTGCCACCGTCAATTGTCGATGGTCGCAAATGCAATTTTACTGGCGACGCGTAGCGGAGAAAGTAAAACGGAAATTTGCGACCGTCAATCAAAATTGACGGTGGCAACTCTTCAACTACAGTACTGTTATTCCGATTCTAATGCATTACAAAAAGAAATAATACGTTAAAGCTTGAAAAAATGTATAAATTTGACATACAAAAAAAATCCGCGAAACTTCATGAATGATTTTAGCGCAAAGACGTCATGGCTAAACGTGACGTCATACAAATGAAAACTTACAAACTGGAGATTATTACGTTACCTCTACGATTCGAATTCGGATAAAATTACGCTAAAACGGCGAATTCGAGGTAGGTGTTGTTTTATATTCGATAATATTGTAGTAATCGAACATTTGTTGATCCAATCAATTCAAAATGGCGAGCCCCTCCTTAGTTACGCCTGGTCAACTGTGAATTTGACGGTAACTTTTAGCCAATGAAAAAAATTGTTACATAAAAATTGCATTAGAATTAGTATTTGATTTCATCATGCATTAACTCCTAAGGCCAAACTGAAATTTAAAGAATTTAAAAACAAAATTGACCCCAAGAGTCTATGCACTGGTTCTATAGATCAACATTGGAACGCAAAATAGTAGCCTTTTCTTAGATTATTGCAACCTAATAGACATTTATAGATTTAATTCCTGCAATATGTAGATGCGAATTTATTTTGAAAAAAATCAAAGTTGCCACCGTTACATAAGAGATCGAACAGAATATTTAAATCAAATTGATTATATATCAAAATATTTTGTTACTGTATATGTTCAAATTTTGGACCTGTCATGGATATATGTGCAGTATTTGAAAGGGGTAGGACCAATTTCCCCTGTATTTGTTTCACTCACATGATCAAAATCCTAATGAATATTTTATATTAAAGACTCCATATCATATACTACATATTTCGATAAACTTAAACTAAAATGTTATTCAGCAGTGCATGTTGCTGTTGTAAGACATTCTGATACAAAGGTGCAAATTGTTCATGTGTTCGTCAAATTTTGCATCGAAGGACAACCAAAATGAACTAATTTCTATCACAAAGACAAAGACAACACATACCTTTACTACCAATATAATTTTGGATTGGATGAACGATGTCCTCCTTATACATTTTAAGGACAATACTCAGCATAAATCTGAACAAATTACGCTTTTGAATATTCTTCATGTTTTGGTAATTTTAAGACCTATTTAGAAATAAGCAAAGTAGTATTAGAACCTTAAAGTACAAACATTTGGCTGTACTACTATGAATTTAAGTAAGGATTGGAAATAGCAATTTTACAATGACTACTGTCGCCATGAAACTTAAGTTTAATATGGCATTCGCTATTGCTTGGAATTGCAAACTTTCTTCTTCTCTTTCCATGGGATTTCTCAGAAACCGCAAGTCAAACGTTACTTTTTAGATTTTGCAGTGTGTAAGGCTTACGAGCTCCACTGATGAATCTGGTGCAGACTAAACGCACATCTAACGTACCAAATTATAAGCATTGTTTATCGGATGAGTTTTACATGTCGTAGTTGTGCATTCAGTGTTTTATTTTTGCATTGGGATCAATTTTGATCGTTTGATTTGGAGGAGCTTTCAGGCGCCTTCTATACTATAGACACCTATGGGATCTTTAGAAAAATATTTTTTTAAAAGCTAACAGCAATTTGAACTAATGGATAACCCCAAATGTATGCGAGTAAGTATACACCCTTCATAAATGTCTTTTAATTAGGTTCCAGAACGGTAATTGTTGCATTATATAGATTTCAAAGGGTAAAAGTTACATAATATTTTTTGCTAAAATAAAATCCTATTACAATTTGCCTTTAGAGACTCCTAAGGGTATAGATAATATTACTAATTACAATTTTTTAAATAATTTTCGGCAGTTGCATTGATTGTATAGTGCTTGCCCAGCCGGCTATGGTATGTTAGGAAAAACTCTGCAAAATTGTTTTCTTAATTGGACTCTTAAGGGGATTTTACTGAGTTTCGGAAGGTTCCTGAAGTGAAATTGTTGTATCATAGAGAATCAAAAGGGGTGTTAATTAATAATTAATAATTCCAAAAAATATTTTCTGCAGTTTCATATGACAGATACCTGTTAAGGCTAGGTCTTCGTTACCTCAGTCATATATTGTTCTGAATTAGGCTCCAAACGAGATGTTATTTCATTTTTGGTTCAAGAGAGGTGCAAACATTTAATTGGTCTAGTTACTCAATCATCGGATTGAGAACCTTTGTATTTGCATCATAACTCATTATAACTTGTTTTCTTATTTATTTATTTATTTATTTTTTGTTTGTTTATTCATATATTTATTTATATAAAATAAGGAGATGTGGGATGATTGCCAATGAGACAACTTCCCACCAGAAACCGAATGAAGTAGGTGTTAGCAACTATAGGTGACCAAACGGCTTTCAACAATTCTCTAAAGAATGTTACAGAGTCTGATTTCAAATTTGTGTGGCCTTTGTTGAATTCATACATAACTTGCCTAGACCTTCAGTGTTTTAGAACTTTACCATTAGAGGCCTCTTTATTGTTTGTGGAGTTAGATTTGCTGTATCAATTATCTCCTTGAGGTACATCAGAAGTCAATTATTAGATTTTTGGTATAATTTTTTTTCAGAAATTCTGGAAATAGCTGGTGAAATCGGAGGTGAATGGAAATCACTTGGTATATATCTAGGATATACTTGTGCAAAACTAAATCATTTAGAAGATGTGTATCCTAAAGATCCAGAGTGGAGGAACGTAATGATGATTGGCGAGTGGTGTTCCGTTATTTCTAGTCTTCGTCTAAATGTCAAACAATACCTTGCCAAGTTCCTGTCAGAAGCCGGCCTAGCGCATATTGCAGATTCTCTTAGTACTGATTACAACAGTAAGATTTTTTTGAAATAAGCTTTCGTATTCATTACTTTTGGTAAATTTACATTTAATTGTCAATATTTCCTTTTAGCTTTTATCAGATAACCAAGGAACAAAAGAAGACCTTTATAATAGAGAATATTATTTACTATAGACAAATATTTTGCTTGTTTATTTAATTTTTGGATATTAGAAAAGTTAAAAGCAACACATGATCTGGACAAAGATAAACAACAACCATATCATCCGTTCCCCTTTGATCTATGTTTTTTTCACGAATAGCAGAGAATCCGTGATTAAAACATATAATTTTCTTTGTATTCAATCTATGTCCATTCAACATACAACAATTGTCTTATTTATCAATTTAATCAGAAGCCAATATTAACATTTTGTAAACTAATTTGCTGTGTTGCAGTAGTTGTACCTTCAAGTGTAGCAGAGATAAAGAAACACGTAAAACATATTTCTTTTGACAGACCTATACAAAAACTTATGGGTTTTTTCGGTAAGTTACATTCTTTAGGAAAAGTAGATACAAGATTGCTATTTCATATTCACCTATTCTATATTTTTTCTCTTACGGTTATTTTTCTTGTTGCGGTTATTATTTTATTATTGTATCATTGTACAATACAAAAACGTTTATTTACCAATAGAGTCGATTGCCAATCGAATCAGATACGTTGACGTATACATATCTGGAGATAAACTAAAACAACAAATGATCAAGAGTTTTAAAGTGGCTTGCATGATGGAAGTTTTTAACGACCTTGACTGGCTATACATCCCTCGCACGGTCGGCTCGTGCCCGGAGGCGATTGGTAAGCATTAAATATTTTTGCGCAGTTGGTCAGGAACAGGTGGAAGGCGCCATTTTGGTAGGTGGCCATCTTGGTTTACGTGAGTTGTTTTGGTTTGGTTTTTTACTATTTTGATGTTTCTTTGCAGTATGGACTCCACAACGGCTGCTTTCAGGGCCAGGTTGATCAGCTGGGCGGCCCGCTTACCACAACGATGTGTTGCTGGTAGATGAATCATTTACTCAGTAGTAGATGACTGCAAATTGCACTAAAACTACGATACACATAGCCCTCGGACGTCTGGGCAGCATATGACACTCACCCATCCACAATGGGTTTCAGTGTGTCGCTGACGCGGGTTTACTGTACGGCAGCCTCCAAAACTAGTTTGTTGTTGAACCACCTAAGAAGCGTAACATGTTGTAGCTAACGTATAATCAGGAGCTGATCCAGCACGTCCTTTCAGTTGTAAGGACTGAGACGTGACTGGAATGTTAAGGTGGCTCGGGTGTCTTCCTCTATCTTGAATTTTGAAATAGCAGATAACAATCGGTCTAGATCTTAAATTAAATGTGCACATTTCGAGAGTAGTATGTAGTTCATGTGTGAACCTTTTCATGCTTATAAAGAAAAGTTTGTGTTTTATCATATTTTATGACTGTATTTTACAAAAAACAGAATATTATTGTTTGATTCGATTTTTTTCAACTTTGACACATAAGGGGAGATAACTCAGATAAAGTAACTTTTATAATAGAATGTATTATGAATTTACCTATTTTATCATGTAGCAAGAAAACGAGTCCGGTAATCCCATTTTTTTCTTTTTCTTATCTGAAAGGATATTATTAGAGCTATCTTTTCATATTTTATCTTAAAATTCTATGGTTTAGTATTCTTTTCATCACACAAAATTGCATAATCTATACAAAATCTGACAATTTTGCACAACCTTTAGCGTGAAAAAAAACCCGGTGACCCATATTTTTTATTATATTTTTGAAAAAAGCACGATATAAACTACATTTTGACAAATTATTAAAAAATTCTATGGATTTTGATTTAGACCCCCCATCTACCTTAAGTCAATGAATGGACAATGTATGTTGCATTTCAAAAATATTTATTTCATGGGAAACTCAAACAAGATTTGCAATGGTTTATGTTTTTTGAAAAGGGGAAATCTATCATGATCAATGATTAACACACGCTTGTGAAAAAGATCGTTTATGGGACAATGACACGAAGCAGTACAACATTACGCATTACAACAAATTATATAGACATCCAAAGCATGTCTGGCTAGTAGCGTACAAAAGGAAACAACAAAAAAATATGTCAAATGCTTCAGGTCCTATACTTGTTTATACATTTGAGGTTTTATTATAGATGAATTCAACACTAAATCGTAATACCAAACTAAACAAATAAACACTGGGCGTCAGCCTGGTTGGTCCTGTGCGCGCGCACGTTAGGACATAAGCAAACTTCTAACCGGAAACTCTTTAAAACTCGGATTACATGCTAAACAAAAACTTGGTTTATCCTTTTATTGTTTTATATTTTATTTTTTCTAAAATCTACGCTAATTCCTTGACAAAAAGGGAAGAATGGGAATACACAAATTGTGAACATTGGAATCCAACTATACAAACATTTATACTAGTGGTCACGTATGTGTGCTAATTCTAAGCTTTTATTGAATAGGAAATACTTCGTCTGTCCGTCTACTGTTTCTGTTCGTCTGTTCACAAATATTGTAAGCGCAACTCCTTCTAAACCGTTCACTGGATTTTAATGTCCTTTACTGAATTGTAATATACAAAAATAGCATAATAGTTCTGTCCTGACAAGGCGATATAATTAGGTATCCTTTTGTAACAATGAATATCACCATCTTAGGCGCAGCTTCCATGTAGCTTCCGATGTATTCAACGACATTTCACTCCACGGTAGTTCAACATTTGAAATTGAAGCAAAACAATTCGCGACTGTGGGTCGAAATTTAATTTTTTAAACATATGCAAATTAACCATTTGTGCAAAACTTTCCAAGCTTAATCTTAGTTATGCTAAAAAAAGTACTTTTAGTACACAGGGTTATACTCGTGGTAATATTAGTTTAGCATATCCTCAGATACGTCAACGTATCTGATACGATTGGATACGTTTTAAATTGACCGACCTCTGTTACTGAGCATACTGCAGTGGCGATCCAGGGCCCATATCGTGCAGAGCAGAATAATAACAATTCAATATGGCTACATGACAAAACATACACCACGAGTGACTAAAGAGCATGATTTTAGTGATCGGATTGATTATAACGTACATCATTAATTGCATATACTAGTATTATAATTGTAAACAACACGATATGAATTTCACAAAATTTCATATTATATAGGGTCAGATCCAAGGTCACTTATGCATTAGAGTACATGATCTATTTCCTGAGACAGTTGCTTTAGTTTTATAAAAATTATATACATATGATATATTTTTCTTCATTGCTTGAAAGCCAAAATAGTTTGTTTTCATTAGAAAGTTTACTAACATTCTTATTATAATTATGTATTTGATCCAAATATATTTTCTGTACTGCTATTAAGCTCAAGCATCGAATTTTGTCTTCAACACATAGAATTCTGACACAAATTATGTTTCGTTTCATCATTATGTTATCTGAATTTAAATATCTTCCTTTCTCTTTTTGATGTTATGTGCACTTACTCTAAATTTTGATAGCAATCTTCTTTCCTTAGTCTTTCCACAACTTTATTTTGATAACACTCTCTTTCCTTAGTCTTTCCACAACTTTATTTGTTTTAATAATTTGAAAAAGAATCTGAAATTTACCGAATTTTTTTTTACTTCTTTCCAACTTAAGAATATCTTGACTTTTGTTATATCATAATATAATAAGATGGCATATGGAAAAAATAATCAAGTTTCAGATAGGAAAGAGTTAATCTCTTCGTATCCAAGAGTCGTTATTTTCTGAGTCCAAATATTCCCCCAATTTTGAAGGATTAGCTTCTTTACTAGAACTTTTTGCAGTTAGACAATTTATTCTGTATATCCACGGGTCCTAATGTCCCGTTTAGGTAAGCTACACAATTTCAACCTTTTTTTAAGGTCCGATCTTGGTGCAGGTTATTCTTCGAAATCATATAAAAAATACCGGTTCGATCTATATGCATATATGAATAAAATGTACAACAATTAAATACTTAATAAATGTGGTTAAACTATATTTTCTTGGCAAACGCCTGTCATTTAAATAAACCTAACCTTTCCAGTTAACAATCACATCGTTTTTTTTTCCCAAATAGATATGAAGGAGATAGTGAAACGTTTAGGAACACCAAATCAGATTAGGTTTGAAATGAATTTTTATGGATGTCAGCAAGAAGCACTTCAAACTGGAGTAACAGAATGGCAACACAATTCAGATCTTTCAGGTAATTTATGAAAATTATAGTTCATAAAATTGCATTATTGGGCTTAAAATAAGGTTAAATCACCCTTAGGCAAAGTTGAACTAAAACAATTTTGATAACATGTTTAGAATTTTCTGAATTTTGTGCTCTTCGTCGTTTTATGGTAATGGTTTTCCAAATTTTTTGTGTTATGCATCTAAATCATATCTTTAGTTTTAATGATATGATGTTGTCATTGTATTTAAATCAACTGTTGACTGTGATTACGTACAATGTGTCAAGTTCCCACCCCCCCCCCCCCCCCCCCGAAAAATTTATCTGGGGTCAATCAGAAAATAGCAATGTATACTATTTTAAGTTAGTGCTATAAAAAATGTAGCACTGTCACATTATGTCGTCGTGAATATGCCTTTTGCCTTTTGATGTAAATAACCAATAAGCAATTAATTACTCTCATAATCCTTCTTCATTCACAAAAGAATTTTTTAACATCAATTCTCTAAAAGGATCAACCAACAGGTGGCCACTTGAAAAAATAATGTGATTGGAAAATGTTTTTTTTGTACAAGCTAGTTGTGTTATAACTAGAAATAAGCAAGAAATATTGAATCTATTGCAGCTTCTTTGTTTTTGCTAGAGACAAGGCCTTCCCTAGCAACCAGGACAAAAAATAAACTTAAAACTGACATTCTAAATATGGTAAAATTCAGGTTTTATTGCAATCAAGGTTAAATAAAAAACATTATTGATGAACAACATTATAAGCTTAGTAGAAAAACATAAAGATACTTTGCAATATGTGATATCTTATCTGAGTATACATGGCAGGTCTTAAAGAATATGTTAAATTTTGCCAAAAATGGCCAAGTTTTGACCATCAAAGTATTTTTTTTGCAGAAATGTAGACCATAAATAACTTTAAACTTACTAAGCGTTAACATTGTTCTAAACATCTATGAAAAGAAATTTGTTGGGCAGTATCACATTATTTAGGATAATTTTGGGAAAAAAAGGTATACCCACCCCCTCCCCCCTTTTTCACAAAAAGTTTTTTGCACATAGATAAGCAATTCTTCAAATATTCCTTTATTGTATTAGTGTTTCTCATCTAAAGGTATTACAATTGTATAAGTGTGTTGCTAGTTTAAATTACTCTCGAGATCTCCTCCAAATTTGTTAATGCACTTACCGTACTCATATTTCAAATACATGACTCAATTAACACCAGAAATAATCAGCTGGAAATTATTTCAAATTCATAAATTTCATTTACTGCATAGTGATTAATATTGAGTGTTTAACGCCACTTTCAGCATTATTGTCTATTTTGTGGAAGCCGGTTTTTATGGATATAGCTTTTACAATCACAAAACAAATTGTTTGACTGATTTTTTTTTCTAAACATTAACCTGAAAATGATGTAAGCATAATACAGATAAGACATTGGAAATTAAACAACATGAAGTTAAATAAATTTTCTACCCATCTAACAAGAAAAGTTTCTTCAGGGCAAACAAACATATTTTTAATTTTGCTGTATTTGTGTCAAGTACCGTACCACAGGATCAATACAAGACTGGTGGTCTTTTGGGTATTTTTTTTTCAACTTAACAAAATGATATAATAAGCTCTTGTTTTTTTAAATATTTCATTCATTATTATGAAAGGCTATATGGTGACAACATGACCCTCTAGAGTTAAACATAAGATAGCTTATTTTTTTGGATAGTGGTCAGGGATCACC